CTTTTCCTTCTCCTCCAGCAACCCTCTGGGATTGCTCCCTGGCTGGTGCTGGTACTTCCCTGGCAGTTGGTTCAAGGCTGCTTTGGCGGGCAGTGCCCAGGCAGGGCTGAGGAGGCAGAGTATAGGAAGGGGAAGCCCCCTTGGTTTCTGTCTCACAGCAGGGACCCAGCAGGGAAACCCCACAGGTCCCAAAAGGAAAGTGGCAGCAGCTGGCCTTGGGGAAGACCAAGAAACCCCCATCTTCTCCCTGAAGATGGGAAATCCAGGGTGGGGCTTAGGGCGGGGCTGTGCTGGAAGGGAGATCTGTGGTTGAAGCAACTCAGCCTTGACAGCCACCTATAGAGCAGAAACACCAGGACAATTCTGGGAGCTAGCTGAGCCCTGTTCCTGACCTAATACGATCCCAACCTGACCACAGGCTGAGCCTTGACCCTGGTCAGCAACTGAGCTCTTATTCCAGCCTAAGCCTGAGCCCTGACAGTCTCAGTCAGAAGCTTGGCCACAGACCAAGCTCTGTGCCTGATCTGGACTGATCTCTAAGCCCAACCCTGATTGGTCCCAAACGGAGCCCTCAGGTCACTGATAGCTCTGACCTGATGTTGTCCCCAGACAACAGAGCCAGGATGTTGGCCCCAGACAAAGTTTTGAGTCCAACCCTAGACCATGTTCTGATCCTGGCTATAAAGTGAGTTCTAATCTAAGATCTGACTCTGGCCTGAGACTGAGCTCTTGGCCCTGAATGAAACTTCTCATCCAGCCCTGAGCCTGGCTATAGACTGAGCCCTGACTCTGCCCCGACTGAGACTCCTCTGCCCTACACAAAACCCCATCCATCCCAGATACCCACTGAGCCCTGACTTCCTTTACATTCCTTCCTCAGCCATCCGATAAACAAGAAGAGAGTAAAACCCCAAGTTCATTCTGATGATCAGTCCCCTTATCTGGCCATCCATCTTTTGAAGGACAGTAGGCAAGTGATGGCATTAGGATGATAATTCTAGAGCAAAGAAACAGGAAAGGATTCAAGTCTCTGGGACCTACCAGCAAATAGAGCAGGGAGGCTCACCTAAGACTGGGGCAGTGAGGGGAAGGCTGGACCTGGGAGCTCAGCAGGGGTCAGGAGCTTAGATTGACCAAATCCCCAGCTTCCCACCATCCCCCACCGCACCTCCCACCCGCTCTGGGAAGGGAAATTACATTTCCCCATTTCAGCAAGGGGTGGTGAGGAGGGAAGACTGAGTTAAAGCTGAAACTACAAGCAGGACGGAAAGTGAAACCGGGCACAGCCCCCAGTATAAGACTCCCCCGACCCGGGAGATGGCTGGCCAAAGAGGCTGGGCCCCGCCATGGGCCAGAAGGCAGGCGACCTTGGCTGGCGTGAGTTTGAGGCCAGGGCTTGGGGCAGACGGGCGGGAGGCTTGGCTGAGACTGGGCAGAGGATTGGAGAACTTGACTGGTGCAGGTGGGGGCAAAGGGCTGAGGGCCAACTACTTGGCAGAGACTAAGGATACAGGTGACTGGAAGATGGGAATGAGGCTGGCGTGAACGGGGAAGAGGGCTTGGACAGAGTGGCAATGGTTCAGCCAGGGCTGGGTAGAGGAGGCAGTTTGGCTGGCATGAATGGGTGGCAGGGTTAGAGGAGTATTGGTTTGGCTAGGAGTGGGCAGAGGATGGGAAGCTCTGACTAGCATGAATGGAGAGAGTTGGGCAGGTGGTTTGACCAGGACCGGGACCTGGCAGATAGATGAAGAGTTTGGTTGGAATGAATGAGCAAAGTCCAGACAGCTTGGCTGAGAACTGGGGCTGGCTAGAGGAAGAACAGCAAAAGGAGTTGGCACAAGTGTGGGGCTGGAGCCAAGGAGTCAGCAGCCTAACTGGGTCAAGGGTCTGTAGTTGGAAGCTTAGAAGGAGTTTCAATCTGCAGTTGGTGACTGAAGGACTCCGAGGCTGGAACCAGAGATATAGGCAGAGGAGCAGATAAGATGGTAGGGTCAGAATAGGGACCAAGGACAAAAGGATGGAGACAGAACCTTCAAAGCCCAGGGCCAAAGACCCAAGATTAGGTGCAAAGAATAGGGGGAAGCCAAGAGAAGGATCTAGGGGCTCCAAAGCTCAGGCAGGAAGTAGAGAGTCAGTAGGAAATGACAGCTCAATTCTGGATGAGCAATATCCACCAGGGCCTGGGGTATCCACTCTACCTCAACACATAGCCGAGAACTCCTCTCTACTCAAAGTCTCCAGGATGCCAAGGTGGCCCCCAAGCCAGGGAGCCTGGACACCAGAGAGCGAAGGCACTGCCCACCCCCTCTGGAAGTCCACAGGGGAAGTGGACATACCCAGAAACTCCTCTTGGTCTCTACTGAGAGGGCATTTCAAGGAGCAGAGCCCAGGGGTTACAGATCAAGGACAGATGGGGAAGAAGCTTGGAGAGGAGGGTAAGCAGGAATAGACTTAGAGGCCTGTTTTGGTTTGTGTTTCAAGGAGAATTGTGTAACTTCAGTGGTTGCTAGATTTCCTCTCCCTGAGGGAGAAATGGTGAACGCTGTCCTCTTCCCAGAGCTCCTACCCCATTGCCTCTCTTCCTTCTGTTCAAGAAATACAGGGCAGGAAGCATTTTCGGAAACCAGATAGTCTGACTCCCCCATTTTATAGATGGGAGTCTGAGGCACAGAAGTAAGAGGTGACTTGTTCAAGGGAAGAAGCCAAATGAGAAACAGAGGTTCTACCCCCCATTCCGGGCCCTCCTTCCCCTCCTGGCATCCCCTGCTCCTCCCACACCGCAGAGTAACCCAACTGCCTTGGGAGAGGCTGGACCAATCTGTCCTTCTGACTCCTTGGGATAGAGCCTCCAGCACTGAGCCACCCCTGGGGCCCTAGTTCAGTCCATGAAAGCTGCCTGGCCAAGCCCGAGGAATCCTTGGCAGAACAGAGTGTGCCTGCTTTGGAGGAGGTGGTTGCCTCCTCTGAGTTGCCTGGGGGAAGCACACAGGCTTTGCATTTCAGCAGATACGGAATCCAGTCTTGGTTTCCTCATCCTCTGGCTATGTGACTTTGGCAAGTCAACCTCATTAAGCCTCACTTTTCTCATCTGCAAACTGGGAAGAATAATAGCACGCAGGCGGCCACATAGAGTTGTGCAATTTGTTCACTGAAAAAGACACTTGGCCAAGGGAGTTAGTAGGGGTCAAAATCCAGCCTGAAATCTACTTGCAAAGGAGGGCACTTGGTGCAAGGCTGTATCTTTCCTTTCAGTCATACAGAGATGTTATATGGTGTCCTCAATAGCTTCCATCTCATTAGTGGCTTTGAGCGATCAGTGAGACAGAACACAGAGCTTGCCTATAGCATAGGCTCAGAAAAGGCACGTCCCCTTTCTTCTGAGTTCTTCTCAAGCTCTGCCCTCCTTTTGCCCACCCCCTCTTCATTTCTCCAGGGCTCGGCCTTTTGCTGCTCTTCTTGCTCCTGGCTCGAGCAGGCGTCTGGGGATTCCCGATGCCCCCAGGGAGGCCTCCCCTGAGGCTGCAGGAGTTGCAGAGGGAGTTCAAGGTCAGCCTGCATCTCGCCAAGAAGCTGCTGTCCGAGGTTCGGGCCCAGGCCCACAGCTTTGTGAGTCTCCCTAATGCAGCTGGCTTTGGGACTGGGAAGATCCTCAATCCACTCTGGCCCCCACTAACAGACCTTGCCCCACAGGCTGAATCTCATCTGCCAGGAGTGAACCTGGACCTCCTGCCCCTGGGAGAGCAGCTCCCCAATGTTTCCCTGACCTTCCAGGCCTGGAAAGGTCTCTCTGTGAGTAGAGGGCCGGTGGGGTGGGGCAGGCGAGCTGGTAATAAGACTGGGCTGGGTGGGTGAAGATGATGTCAGGGATTGAATTGAAGTTGAATTTGGGGATAAACTGAGGAACAGAATCTGGATGAGGTTGAGTATGTCGTTAGATATAAAGATGAAGCTGAATAAAGAAATGAAGTTAGGAAGAGAGTAAAAGTGAACCTGGGCATGGAAAGAGGTAGAGATCGGAGTAGAATGGGATCGGGGACAGAGACCGGTATGGAGGAGGGATAGCGTTGGTGTTAGGGATGAGAATGGGAATAGGTTAGGAATGGGAAGATTGGGGATGAGAGTGAAAATAAAGCGAAAGATAGATAAGTGATTGGGATCGCCGGTGAGGATGGGAACGGAATGAGTCTGGGATGGAGCTGGAGATAGGATGGAGAGATGGTGAGGCTGGACATATGGACAAGGGATGGAATTGGGATTAGGAATGGGAATAGGGATAGGAAAGAGGTGGGAGACAGACTGAAAATAAGTGAGGAGATGGAGTTAGGATTGGATGGTGAGGAAGGGACAGGAATGGGGTTGTGGACAGAATGATAGGACAGTGAGGCTGGGCTTAGACCTGAGTTTGGTCATGGAACTGAAAATGAGGTTGGGAATGGAGGTAGGATGGAGGTCATAGACAGTGGAGACAGGAATGCTGATGAGCAAAGGAAGGGAGCAGGGAAGGACCTGAAGTCAAGGATGAGAACAGATGTTTGGATGAAATGGGAATTGGAGTTTGGGAAGGAAATGGGACTCGGAGAGACACGGTGTTCAGTTTGAAGCGGGTCATCCTTAGCCTGTGGCTCTTTCCTGACCCCTTCTCTCTGTTTCCACAGGACCCAGAACGACTCCGCTTCCTCTCCACAACACTTCGCCCCTACCAAGCCCTGTTGGAAGGGCTGGGGAGCCAGGGGGTCTGGGCCAGCTCAGAGAGGATGCAGCTGTGGGCCATGAGGCTGGATCTCCGTGATTTACAGCGGCATCTTCGCTTCCAGGTAGAGTGGCCACCCACCATCCTTGACCCCCCGAGACCAAAACTGAAGCTCATTGGCTCCCTTTTTAAAACAATGCCCCTGCCCACAGGTCGGGTAAGTCTGGACAGAAATGCTCCAGATTCTCCGAGTGTGTGTATGAGTGTGTGTGTGTGAGTGTATGTATGTGTGTGTATTTGTAAGTGTATGAGTGTGAGTGTGAGTGTGTGTAGCTGCACCAGGCCCTGGCTCTGCCCCCCTGAATCTCTCTGCCTTCTCTTGGGGTCTTGATCTTAAATGAAAGAATAGGTCTGAAGCATCCAGGACAGCATCTGGCATCAGCAGGACATAACAAAGTTGGTTCCCTTCTCTCTCTCTTCCTCTGACATCACCAGGTCCTGCTGGACATTTCAAAGGGAAATAGGAATTTTACCTTTACTAAAATGAGAATTGAAAATGCAAGCAGCATAAAAACTAGCTATATCAACCTTTCTACCCATTTCTGATTCTAAGACAACTCTTAAGAGAGGAACTTTTTGGAACCCCAAATGCCCAGTGCAATCCTAGGTGCATGAGCCGGCTCCCTCCATGAACATCATCTTGTTCTGTGATTTCCATTTCCTTGAGCCAAAAAAATCAGGCAGGACACATGAGATGATGACATAATGGAAGATCTGAAATAGGGGTTGTCCAGGGAAATCATAACTTTGTGGTCTCTGATGTCATTCAACGCCACTAGACACATAAAGGAACAAGAATTCACTTAGGATCTCCGCCTGGCCATTTTCTGACCCATGGGCCTTTCCTCACAGTTGCTGGCTGCAGGATTCAACATCCCTGAGGAGGAGGAGAATGAAGAGGGGAAGGAGCTGCTCCCGGGAGCTCTGGGTGGCCCCTCACAGCTGTCAGTGCAGGTGCCCTGGCCCCAGCTCCTCTACACCTACCAGTTGCTGCACTCCTTGGAGCTTGTCTTGTCTCGGGCCGTGCGGGACTTGCTGCTGCTCTCCCAGGCTGGGAAGTCAGCCTAGGTCCTGGGGGGTCCAACACTGGCTGTCTCCCAGCCCCGATGGAGTGATTTCTTAGCCCCTTCCCTTTACCTGTTAGGACTTTAGGACTGGAGTCTGGGCCAAGAGGACAGCTCCAGCTCACTGCCTTAGACAAGGCAAGACTCTACCGACCTTCCTCCCCAGACCCTACCCAATAACTTAAGGCCCCTCCAGTCCTTGCTGGATATTTATTTCTTGGATATTTATTTATTGTTTAGAGAAATTATGGTTTATTTATTGTTTCAGGGCCTGACGTCCTCCAGCCAGGCCACCATGCTAGGTGCCTAATAAAGCACTCTTAACCTCTCTCTGCCTTGGCTTCTTTTCAGAGAAGGAATGTCTACACCCAAAGTGGGTCTGGAATGGATCCTTTAACATCTGACTGCTCTGGGCCCCTCTCTGTTTCTATATTTTGGGGTTCCTGGCACACCTCCCACTCTGGCTTGCTCAGTTGGTGGTTACCATAGTAACCAGCAGAGTCCTGAGGCTCAGCTCCCATTTTGGAACCTCAAGGCAGCTGGTCTGTTTCCCATCAACCTTTGATTGCAAATGGAGCTCCTTAGGCCTTCCTGACCCCTTTCCTCTAAGCTGACTTCCACCCCAGAGGTTTGCATTACTCCTACACAGCTCTCTGAGGGCTTGGAGAGGGGCCTGGGGAGCAGGGTGGGGAGCAGAGGTAGTCAGAGGGAAGGCTACGGGGAGATCTGTCTCTGTCCCCTCTCAGTCCTCCGGGCAGCCTCAGAGACAGGGTGGGGAGACAGTCAGGACAGGCTGTGAAAGGAGGTCCAGCAGCACTGGAGAGTCTGACTCCTTAAGTTCATGGTTCTTGAAGATGTCTGGTTCTTGAAGATGTCTGCTCCATGAATGAAACACCAAGAAACTAAGGCCCACGGGGTGGAAAGGTTGCATCCAAAATCCAATGGGGT